GGGGGTTCAAGATGGAGTTGGAAATCCTTTGAAGAAGCCGTGGACCATCTACACTACCTCGAGGACTATGGCATCTTCTTTGAACCTCGAGTGCACCGGTGGCCACACCCATGGGAAATGTGAAGGTGGATCGGTACCAAAGAGGACTGGTTTCTACACCCAGCCAATGGTGCGGATCATTGCGAGAGAAGTGATGAGACAACAAGATGCGATGTGGTTTGAGTGCTACCACGCGGAGGAGCTGGTCGCGCCGGTCACGGACAACCCCAAGCAGGAGACCCCGGTGGAGGAGATTCCGGAGGGTCTCTCAGTGCAACAGTGGCAACGCATTAAGGACGTGGTCTATCGCCTTCATGTGCAAGCGGGACATCCTTCAGTGCGGGCATTGGTGGCCTCACTGAAATCCAGAGGTTCGCATCCGACAATCGTGGAAGCTGCGCGGCAACTTCGATGTGATGATTGCGATGAGACAAAGCGGTCCACGCCGGCATCGAAGGCGAGCTTTCATAGAGCTGACACCCTGTGGCACACTCTGCAGGTGGACAATGCGGTTTTCCGGGTGGGTACTCGGACGTACCATATCATGGTGATGGTGGATGAGGCCAGCACTTTCATGGTTCCTCGTTTCCTGGCGGTCACGGAGGAGGACGAGCACGAGAATGCAACTGGAGGTCAGGTTGTGAACGCTTTGCAGGAATCGTGGGTTCGTTTCTTCGGATACCCTTCGGTGATCCGTCTGGACCCGGAAGGTGCTTTCAGATCGCGAGTGCTGGAGGATTACTGCGCATCCCGCGACATAGAGCTGGAACCATTTGCAGCTGAAGCTCATCATCAGATTGGTGTGGTGGAACGTTCTATCGGCACTCTGAGGAAGTCGGTGGAGCGGTATCTGCGAGCTGAAGCTTCCGAACCTTGGGCAGCCATCATGGCCATGTGTGCGGCGCACAACGAGATGGCTCGAGTTGGTGGTTTCAGTCCGTGTCAGTGGGCTCTGGGACGGTCGCCGGGTTTGGATGAGAAGATGCATACTTCCGGACGGGACGGCACCTCCCTCCATGCAGCTCAACGTGATCCTCATGAAGAAGTATCACGCAACCTCGCGGTACGGTTGAAGGCAGAGGAGATGTATCGGAAACAGATGGCGCAAGATGCGATCAATCGAGCTTGGAACAGCCAAAGCCGAAAGAAAGAAGTGCTAGCGCCTGGGACAATGGTCTACTACAAGCGCTACAAACCGCCAACGACCTCGACTGCTTCGCATAAGGAGGTAGATGTTTCTCGGAGGAACATTGCGCGCTGGTATGGCCTGCAAGGATCTTGGCGACGGAAACCCGTATTTATTCAGGCACTGGACGGGCCCGGACATATTATCTGGATCACAGCTGCGGGACGTCTGAAGCGGGTTGCGCCTGAGCAGATTCGGTTGGCCTCTGAGCGTGAGAAGATTTTGGCGGAAGTTTCGGACCCCGGCATGTTCCCCTGGACCATTCATGGTATGTTGGAGAATGTGGAGACGGGCCAGTTCGATACCTACAATGACATCTTGGGAAGCGACAAAGCCGAGATCACGGCGAAGCGGACGAGGAGCCTAACCACGCAGGTGCGACAGGAGCGGATGCAGCCCCCTCAGTCTCGGATTTCTCGCGGTAGCAGCAGAAGTCATGAGAGAATTGGGGTCGGAAAAGAAAGAGAAAAGACTCCTTCAAGAGCCGAAAGCAGACCCGGGAAAGAACAGAGGACGGAAGAAATCGGCCAACCAAGAGCGCCTGTAAGTAAAGCTGGACGGGCCCAGCTGGCGCCAGAGACCGCAGGAGCACGGTCAGCCCTAAGAAATGTTCCGGCTAGTTCTGGTGTTTCCCCCTTAAACCCTAGCCCAAAGGGCTCCCGAGCTTCGCGCCCCGTGCCTAGCCATGGAGCCGACACCGGTGAGTTGGCTTCGAACAAGCAGTTTCAGGACGCTCGCAAACGGCATGAGACCCTGGAGAAGCCTTTGCATGTGACGTCTCGGAAGGACGCTTTATCCTTTTGGGTTGATGAGCCGGGCATGCCGAGTGGAGGAGACATTATGTTTTGCCTTCATGTGGACTTGCCGGACAACGCCAAGGATGAGAAGATGTTCAAGCGTGATCCTGCCAGCTGGGTTGCAAAGAAGGTGAAGAAGTCCGCAGAGGTGAAGCTTGAGAACTTGACGGAAAGCCAGCGAGCTGACTTCAAGAAGGCCAAGGATTTGGAGGTATCACAATGGATCCAAGCAGCCGCGTGCAAAGCTTTAGCAGATGGCAAGGTTGCACCGCGTTCGAGAACCATGAAGATGCGTCGGGTTCTTACCTTCAAGCAATCAGGTGCTGCGAAGGCTCGCATTGTGATCGTTGGGCTCACTGACCCTGATCTGGACACGCTTCAGCGGCATCTCCCACGATGACGAGGCGTACCCGTCAGCTCGTTACAGGCTGGCAGCAATGGAAAGGCGATGCGAAGAGCGCTTTTCTTCAGACGTCGGAGAACACTGAGGAGAGCCGAAGTGTTTTTGCAGTCCCGGTGGATGAGCTGGCAGACGCAATGGGTGTGGAACGGAAACGCGCGGTTCAGGTGATTAAATCTTGTTGTGGTTTGGTCAACGCCCCGTTTCAATGGTTCCAGGAGATCAAGGCCACGATCATACGCCTAGGCGGTGAAGTTTTGAAAACAGAGCCATGTTGCTGGAGGATCAGGTGCCCAACTACGAACAAGGTCGTTGGACTGATTGCGAGTCATGTTGACGATTTTTATATGATTGGGGATCAGGCAGATGCAGCTTGGACGGATTTTCTTTATCGCTTTCGATGCGCATATCGGTGGTCACCTTGGGAGTGCGATTCTTTTGAGCATTGTGGTGTTCTGTTGCAGCAAGATGCTTCACAGGAGGTCACTTTGGACCATTCGACGTTTTGCACTTCAGTCAATCCCATTGAGCTGGACTCCAAGGAGATGAACAGGCCTATCTCGGCAGGAGAACGAGATCAATTGCGGGCAGTGCTTGGCGCAGTTCAATGGCGTGCTCAACAGAGCGGACCTCAACACTGTGCTAAGTTGGGTCAACTTCAATCGCGTGTGTCGACAGCCGATGTTCAGACCTTGTTAGACGCCAACAAACTCGTGCGTGAGGTATATGCTCAACGTTTTGTGGCGCCAGCAGCAAGGAACTTGGGTTGCGATCCTGCAGAGGTTGAATTTGCATGTTGGAGTGATGCAGCACTTGCAAATCGCCCTGACGGTCGCAGTACAGGCGGTTTTGTGGTGTGTGCTACCTCCCCCGCTCTGAGGTTGGGTCAGCGAGCAAAGCTCAACTTCATCTCGTGGCGGTCGATGAAACTGCGACGCGTAGCAAGGTCCAGTTTATCGGCAGAGGTACAAGCCTTCGGTGAAGGAGAGGAGGAACTGATGTTCTGTCGTTTGGAATGGGCCGAGATGATTGGCCATGAGATCGACCTCCGATCCCCAGAGGCCACGTGCAGCAAGGTCGTTGGCATCATGATCACAGATGCAAAGAGCTTGTATGACGTGGTGCAGAAAGGTCAAGCAAACACCAGTGGTTTGGGACTCACTGAGAAGTATGCCTCACTTGAGTTGCTCAGCGTCATTGAGAGGCTGACAATGAGTAAGGTAATTACAAGGTGGGTTGATTCAGCTGCGCAACTTGCAGATAGCCTTACGAAGCACATGGTTTCTTCAGCATTGCATCAGGTTTTGCAGACTGGAACTTGGACGCTGGTACATGATCCGCACTTTGTGAGCGCAAAGAAGAAGAAGAAGGCAGCAGCAAGGGCCGCGACCTACATCTGCGGCAAGAGACTTTGGGGCATGTGAATGAATTTAGGATCAGCCTCCGATGTGTCTCGCATCCATACATGTGACTGCTTCAAAGGAGCATGAGCTTGAGTGGTTTGGACATGTGTGAATATCCGATGGATGGCATTTCGGTCCAAAGGGATCCCTTCAGCCAATATTCGCTTTTCATGCAGAGCATGGCGACGTGTGTGTGAAAGTGCTTGAGCGCACTTCGGGAGCTTGAGGGTTCCCCCGGCTACCGAAAGGCAAGCCCACTTCTTCCTAAGCCACTGCCAACAGCATTTCGCTTCCTCAGTTTGGCCAAAACAAGTCCGAACCTTTTTGAATCCAAACGGGTCTTCCCAAAAAGTGTGAAAATCCAGGAACTCAGAAAGTGAGCCACTATTGCAGCAACTCTCTGTCAGCTGGGCCGCAATGCAAATGGAACTTCGAGCTAACTTGTCTGCTTAGCAACGAGATGTTGGAAATGGACCTCAAAACGATCATGGGCCTGCATTTGACCGCAGTCGGCTTTTTGGTAACGTGCTCAGGCTTTGTTTCTGAGCACCGAAAACACCGGAGGTCGGCCACAAGTCCCCACCAACATTCTAGGGGTGCCTTCCCCATTCTTTCCAGGAATCCTTCTTTCTAGAGAACCTTCAGAAACCGAGGGAAAACGCCTGAATTTTGAAAAGAACGATGGTTGAAAAGAATGGGGAATAAACCCCTGGAAACATCAGTTTGATTTGGTTTGGTTCTCTTCGGAATTAGGCATTATCTTCAAAGCAAATGCAGTCTCCGCAATAAGCGGTGCCCGCATGGACGGATTGCAGTCCAAAAGCCAAGCCAGCAGCCCACACATCCAACTCCAACCCAGCCAAATCGGAAAATGCAAAACCTTCGCCTTCCGGCCTACTGAAGCTATTGGCGTGAAGAAATCCCTAAAGTCTTTGATGAAACTCTCCTGGACAAAAAAAAAACGCCCGACTACGGTCCTTCTAGCGCCCGGCAACCCGGCAAACCCCCATCCCACCACCGCCCACTCGGAGCCAACTCCTCCGGGCCGGCTCCTTGACCTTCACCGTCAAGACCACTTTTTCTTGGGCTTCTCTTAAGGAGACCCCCATTTCGGGGCTGGGTGTTTGAACCATGCCCTGCCCCGCCCCCCCCCCCCCACCCCCCACCCCCCCCGCCTGGTACTCATCGCTGAGCTCGATCACAGACACCCGCGCCAGCGGCAGCTCCGCCGCCACGGGGCACTCGGGGCGCACCGCCGGCAGCAGCAGCGAGGGCTCCAGCACTGACCACCTGGACGCGTGACGGGCCCTCCAAAGGAATGTGAACAACTCCCAAGGAAAGCCGCACATGTGGGTGATGGTGACCTGAAAAGGGAATCCTCATAAGTATGCGTGTGTGTGTGTGGTAAAAAGTATATAAATAAATACAGATAAAATTCCCCGAGTAAAGGCCGCTTTTGAATGCGAACCATGGACTCCGTGGAGCGCTGGTTGCCCCACAATGAGGCTACAACTTAGCCCCGTGCTTTATCCATAAACTATAGGAGTGCAACTTGAGGCTCATACACGGCGCTCACACATTCAGACTGTTAACAGCGAAAGGGGAGCAGCAAAACAGCCCCACCGCCAGGAAACGTTCGTGCCAAGATCTCAGAAGGGTCCTCAAAACCTTCCCGGGGGCTGAAGGTTACATCAAAGACCAACCAGTCTGAAAGAGAAGAAATTTTGACCCGACCGCGCTAGATTTGGGAGACAGGGCATCTTTGGTTGAACTTGTTGAAACCATGGCTCCCCTCTAGCCCAAAAGCAAACTGCAAAACAGGCTGGAACTGCTCGAACGATCCAAGCGTAAGCCCGATGACTGTTGAAAACAGAAAGTGGCAGCCCATAACAGGCGTTGATGGAAAATCACCCATAAGCTATAGCTACCATTGGCTGTTCTCTGGCTTTCGAGGTTTGGAAACTCCCTTTCTGCTTTTCCCCTTGCTGCCTCGGATTGGCGCCAGCAGGCCGCTTCGGCGGCACGAAGCCGACGCCCTCCACGTCGAAAGGGGTGGCCATGGGCGGCACGGCCACGCCCTGCGGGTTTCGGCCGCGGTGTTTAGCCAGGAGGACTCGGTGCAAGCTCCTCCCCCGTTTTGGTCATTTGCGCCTCTTGAGCTTCAGAGGTGAGCCTTAGCCCATGGCCCGAGAATGTGTTGGGTGAATCAGCCTTAAGGAGCACCGATAGCATCCGCAACTCCTGTAAAGCCCTGGGCGGCATCAAAAACAGCAGTCCGGAGAAAAAGAAAGAAACAATAACAATTTAAACCCAAAACGCAAAAGAAAAAAAGGAAAACAAAAAAAGAAACATGCAAGCTCGTGCGCCTTTGCCTGCCTCAACCCCGACCTCCCGACCTCCCTGCGGCCTCTGCAGCGAGTCGGAGGTCGGGCGCTGGGGGCCGCGTCCAGCCCGTCAGCGCGCCCAGGCCGGAGCACCAGCGCCCGGCGCGGAAGATGCTCATCTCCACCCGGTCACCTCTGCAGGTGGCTCGTAACAAAGCCCAAAGAGGAGCGAAAACAATGAAAAAAGAAGGAAGCCGAATTTGCAGGCCCAACCAACAAAACGACAAAGAGAAACCAGAGTTTATAAAACCTTTTTCATCCCTTTGGGGCACATCCCCTCCTCCCTTCCACCCCTTCCACCCCTTCCACCCCTTCCCCCCTCCCGCTCGGCCTCTTTGACCCCTCCCGGCCTGGGCTGCCGCAGCGCCGCCGCATCACCGCCATGGAGGCCACCCCGAAGAGCGCGGAGCCCGCCACCGCCGCGGCGAAGCCCGCGGGGCCCAGCACGTGGCCCAGCTGCTCCGCCAGGCCTCCCGCGGGGTTTTTCCGACCGAGGGACCGAGCCTCCGGTTTGGGGTGGGGGGCATGGGGGGCATGGGGTGGCGGGGGGAGGGGGAGGGGAGGAAACCCTAGGAGAAAAACTTGTTCTTTGTCAAGATACGACAGTTTTACAGGTTCTTGAAGGCCTATAGGGCAAAACCTGGGGGGAAAAGCCGGAAAAACCACCTGAGACAGGTATTTGATTGCTGTTTTTCTAACGTGGGGGATGCGAGGCAAGTAAGCCCAAAGAACAAGAGTGAATTACTCGACCGGGGAGAAGTAATTGGGGCAAAGTACTTCAGGGTTGAGTACCTATCTCTCCTCAGGCCCTGCCGTGCTTCTTCGCGCGCACGAGCTCGCGCGCTTGCGCTTGGCTCGAGCCGCTGCCTGAGAGGCTGAAGAAGGCCCCCGCGTCGCTGATGCCCTTGTTGCTGACATCCGCCAACATGCCCACGGTGCTGGCGTGCACAAAGATGAGCCAAGGGTACTGCTGCCGCAACTCCACCGCGCCCAGCTGCATCTCATCGAGCCTTGCGGACATCGGGCTGAGAAACAAAGGAGCGCCAAAACCGCTTTGGTATTTGTTCTGAGTTTGCGGAACTGTGGCAGTTCTCTGCCCTGCAGAAACACATCGCAAGTTGCAAGTTCGAGCGAGGCGCTCGTCTGCAGGCAGATCTGTCAGGAAGACGTTGCAGCCTCGGCTGGAAGAAACAAGTCCCGGAAGTCAGCCCTCCTGGACCTTTCACTATGTTCAGGCCATTGAGGCTGACAAGTCAAATGGGTTATGCTTGAAGAGGTGTGTAGATAAGCACCGGGAGCTGGGCTCTGTCCCCGGCCTCGATGCCGGACCACCCCTCTTAGGCATGGGCAAGGTCTAATCGTTTGGACAGTGCAAGCAGCATTTCGTGGCTCTGACTTGCGTCCACGGCGGTCTGTTGGGCTCCAGTGCGTGCTTTGTACACTGTGTCCTCGCGCCTTTGTGTTTTGTTGGGAGTGTTTGTTGCGTTTGTGGGTGGTACAAGGCCTGCGCATCCCACCACTGTTGGATTGTGCGAGTGACTTCACATCAAGTCAAGCACGGACTCCAGTCCAAGACAACCGACCCAAAATGTGTGTTCAACGCAGTTGCGTGGACCAAAACATGGAGCCAGGCTGATTCCCGGTTATATCGTGCTAGTTGAAATGGTGGCGGGAGCAAACCAGGATAATGATTTGTCCCACTTGGCTTTGTTCCAAAGGCTCAGAAACGCGCAGAGACATACACAGAGCCTCCAAAGTCCTGTGCACTTTCACTTTTCTTCACGTGGGTGCCAATCACTCCAAAGTCTCTCAAGATTTAATCTTCGCCTTTGCTTCTTTGCAAATGAGCCTTGGGGCTGGAGCCCTCCTCCTTTCTTCTGAGGAACCTGGCAGCAGTTCCGCCTTCAGAGTGGCCAGGTCCCGCGGGTCCTCTGGAAGCTCCTCTGGGCGGCGGCGTTCGGTTCGACGGAGGTGGGGGGGGGGGGAACCCCTGTGATCTGCGAATATTTTGCCTATTGTTCGCCGGAGTTTTCAAAAGACTCGGACCCAAGACTCACCGTGGATTGGCCAACCTTTGCCCCAGCGGGACTCTTATTTTTCAGCATCCCCGCACCAAATCGGCACCAATGAGGGGAACCTTCATCATGAGTGGTGCTCGCCTCAGCCCGTGAGCTCGCGAAACCTCAAGGCTCCTTTGCCAGACGCTTGCCATGATGCAGCTCTTTGGGCACCGAGTGCGGCTCCTGCCAAGGCGGAAAGCTCCAAAGAAGCAGCTACTCCCTTGCAAGGTTAACATGACACTTCATAGAATTGGAACCCCAAAGAAAGAGAGACAGAGAGAGAGAGAGAGAGAGAGAATATATATATATATATATATATATGTCTGTGTGTGTGTCTGTATGTGAACCTCCTTCACTTTGGGAGGACCTGTGTGCGAGTGAGTTCCACTCCATGTGAACTACCAGGTGAGTACCTGCTCCACGTAGCAAGTCACTTCAGAACTCCGGTTTCGAGGATTCGCCTTTCTAAAGGGACTCCAGAAGACCACGAAGTGTGGGGTTCCTGCGGAAACTTGAAACGGCCACTGCCTCCGAGCCCCGAACCGATGGTTCCAAGTGAAAGCCCCGCGTTAAACGCCTCTCACTTAGAAAGGGGTTGACAAGCATCATGCTTCTTGTCAAAACAAATATGAAGCACTAGGTGTTGGACACAGCGCACCGCTTCATTGATGCGCCGCTTTCCGGGAAGACTGTCTCCGACATCCCGCCGAATACACCCAAACCAGAAGGAAAGCTATCCATGGAGCGCGAAAGAGCACACAATAACTCGAGGACAGCAGCTGGTTGATCAAACAAACACTTCCTTCCAATTGAGATTCAGCACCCTCTTCCAAACCAGCCCCTTCCTCCCACGCGCCTTAGACGCAGCCCCCACCTTGACGCCCTGCTTCTTCCGCACCAGCAGCGCTTCCTCCCCGAAGGCGCACCGCACCACCTGTGCGGTCGCGTGAGCAAAGAGCCCGAGGCCTCTTAAGAAACCGGCTGTTTCAGCCAGTTTTGCTCTGGTGATCTTAAGTCTTGCACTGGTCTTCCCAAACGGTCGCATCAAGCCGTCGTGTGCCCTCCGCCCCCGCGACCTTTAAAGCTTGCGTTCCCTCAACAATTGCCTGGAGGAAGCTTCCAAGCACTACATCACCAAGCACTACATCACCAAGGCACAGCCCAAGAAGAAAGGATATGTGTGGCATTGAGGATATATATGTATATATTATTTACAAATATTAAAAATAAAATAATAACAATATTAAAAAAAAAAAAAAAGGTCCCCCCCTCCTACCTGCTCCCCCCCCTCCCCATCTTCCCCTCCTCCCGGGCTTCAAACCTCCGCGCCTCCGCCCCGCAGGACGCCATCAAGCGCCCTGCGAAGGGCGCCGTCCAGGTGCGGCGCGTGAGCTCCAACACCCGGACACCCAGCCAGGGCAGCGCCTGGCCCTGCGTGCCGCTAAGCGGGCGTGGTGTAGTACACAATATGTCGTTTCCCCCCCAATTGTTTAAAAAAAGAAGAAAAAAATTGCTTACTTGTTTACTTCCATCGAAAAACATGCATTTGTGGGATTCCAAGGGAGGAAATAGGGAAACACTCCGTGTGTAAAGTCGTACAACACCTCTATCATCGTTTGTGGCTGCGGGCGGGGGAAGGAGGAAGGCCCGAGAGATGGACATAGCACAACCACGCCCAGCCTCAAGAGCCAATCCCCCAAGAAAACACAGCTTCTCCACTAATTAGGCTCATGCCCCTCATCTTGCAATTCCTTCCCACAACTCCACGCCCCTCACCCTTGCCCTCTTCAAAGCCCATGTCCCTCCTTGGGTTGGAACATCCGCGCGCCCAGCTGATAGTCCAGGTCCTCCTGCTCCCTCTCGCCCTGAGGCTGCACTCCTGGCTGAGTTCGGGAGCATAGGCGTCCTTTTCGGGGAAATAGATGGCCCTGGTGGATGATTAAACCACCAGGTAAACCAGGGCCATCTATTTTTCTAGCAAAACAACCAAAAGGACAGCTATGTTCGGGAGGCTTGCACCTTGGCCCCACGCCTATCAGACACACAAGCCTTCAGAAGCGGCAAACGCAGCCGGCCCTTCCCAACCCGCCAGCTTGCCTTTCCTTGCCTCTTTTTGCATGCCGCCTATTGGCCTCAATGACTCATAACGTTTTGACCACCCATCGTGGACGCATTACAAAGGGTGTGAAACAGAACCTCGCAATGTTCAACGCCCCCCCCCTTCATCCCCTCTCTGCAAAACAACGTGCTTTCATGAAAATGCAGGACTCCTGGCCCGGCCCCCCTAACCCAGGTGTTTTCAAAACCGGGTGTCAAAAGGTAATCTTTGCTTGCAAGCGACGCATCCTTTGAATGGCTTGGAAGGGCAGCAGGAACCTTTCTAAGCGCACTAGTGCTCTCGTGGGCTAAATGGTTGGCAACCGGAAACCATGTAGCCCATTTGCCAAACCCATCGATCACCAAATTCAGGTGGGCCTTTAGAAGCCATCGCCACGTTTGGAGGATCCCAAAAGCGCAATGGCCTGCCAAACCCTGGATCTGCCAAGGGGGCGCCAAAAAAAGCGGCCGACGACGCGCCAAGGGAAGCCGTCCAAATGAAACCCGTCCTGGTGGCAACAAACCATCGCCACGTTTGGAGGATCCAAAAAAAAGGCCTCAGAAACCAAAAAATGCGCCAAACGATCCGGAAAAGGCAACGGCCTGCCTGGTGGCAGCAGCTGCATCTCCAGGTCCAGCTGACACTCGCCAGCGCCCAGCGGCATCCTCCGCCGCGTCCAGGCCGGGCCCAGGCCGCTCGAGGCCAGCTGCAGCGAGGTCTTGCCCAACAACTCCTCCCGGTGCACCGTCCTCGGCTGGATGAATGTGGAGGCGGGGGGAACAAGAAAAGGGCACCTCAACAAACGGGTACCACGTTTTTGTGTTTTGTTTCTTTTGTGGGGGGTGGGGGGGGGGGGAGCAAACCATAAGGGAAACCACCATTTTAGGGGGCACCGCAAAAAGACACACCCAAAATCAGTGACCCACTCGAAAGGGCCAAGGGCAGCTGTCCCCAGGTTGCAGTTGCACCCCAACTTTGGCCTGACAAAGACGTGTTTGAGGAACATGTGTTCTCGCTGTGTGCTCCGGTGTTCGAGGACTAAACACAACTATTCCTTTGGATGTTTGAGCGGTTATGAGCGGTTCGCAAGTGGGAGTGACTGGGACGGGCAGTTTGAGCCAGCGGCGGGCCTGCTCTATCAATCCCGATCAATGACTTGCTTCGCTGCTTCACCGATGTCCAACCCAACCTGTTGCAGCAGTGTTTCCCGGACTCTGGGTTCAAAGGGCCCACCATTTTGCACCAAAGAAGACTTGGAAATTCAAACCTCACTGACCGAGGGCAGCCACGCGAAGCAACCCGGGCCGAGCTGCATGCTCATCACCTGCAGGGGGGAGCCCATCTTTGGAGAAGTGGGCTTCCGCTGTTCACTGAGGACCAAACGCATAAACACACTTATTTGGCCTTGCTTTGCATAAATGGAACAGTGGTAGGACCCCTGTGATTGCATTGAATTCTGCCTAGTTCGATCTTTCCAACTGACTGCTTCGCTGACCACACACCCCACAACTGCAGGCATCTTACCCCCCCCCCCCGCCCCCCCCGCCGCCGAGCGCGCCTCCAAATCCAAGCGCCCGGCTCCGGGAGTTTCGGGCACCCGCAGCTCCAAAGTCTCGTGCCACTCCGCCCCTTGGGCCCCCAGCTCCGCCAGCGCCGTGCGCGCCGCCTGCCGGCCCAGCCTGGCCAAACGACGGTACGAGCGGAAAAACCGCCGGCTCGGAAAACGTTCACACATGTTGGGCAATGACTCGAAGGATGAAGAGACCTAAGTTGAAAGGAGTGCCAGCTCGACGGCTAAGTGACTTAAGTGTCTGTTTGCTTGCTTGCTTGCTTGCTTGCTGGTTGCCGGGTTCTAGTGGCCTTGGGCAGGGAAGCTCAACGGCTTCAGCCTGCCCAGGACACCTTTTCCGGGAACCTCAAAAGGCCCACACGGCACAACTGGCACCAATTGACGAACAGACTCCTTTCCCGGAAGATAGCGGTACCCGCCACAAACCGCCATCCCACCGAAAATCCCCCCAAACATTAAAACAAACATGAGAGTGTCTTTCGTGGGGTGTCCTAACAATCAGTGGCTTCCCTCCAATTGGTAGTTTGGATTGGTGGTCTGGTGGTGTTCCGGAGGGTCTGCCAAAGGGGTTCAAAACAAATCCAAACTACCAGTCCAAACCAACCAATTTGGGGGCAACCCGCATCTGTGCCTCGCCACCACTGCGACCTCCGCCAGGTCGCCCACCAGTCCGGCACGCTTCTTCCTCAGCTGGGCCTGACTAGAATTCTGAATCGGCCGCTCAAAACTGGTTCGACATGAAACTTCATGGGAGGTGGTGTCCGCCAAATTTCAACTTTCTACTCATTCCCAGAAGGTCCCAGTGCCAAAAGGATGCGTCTGGCACACGGGATTAAGTGAGGCAAGAAAGGCTTGGCAATGATATGAACGAGTCGAAGACCCAAGCTGCGAATTGAATCTGCGAGGTCTGGGGAAGAATCATCAAAGCAAGGTGAATGTCCGATCCCCAGCGCCCGATCTCCAAGTCTAATAACAAAAAATAATATGCACAAGGAAAGCGGAACCTCGACATTCATGTCCGTCCTTAAAACCCAAGCTGCCTGTTTCAACAGCCGCTTCGTGCTCCGTCAGGCCCACTCCAAGAACCAAAAGTGATGAACATACATTAAATAGTCTCCTCAAAAATATGGGCACCTCGCAAATAGGGGGGGTCCCTTTCAACCCAAAGGGGCACATGTCATGTTCCTGTTGGCCGCCTTGCCTTCAGGACTCTGATCCGGAGCAGGCAGGAGGCTGGCAAAGCAGATGTGCTTTGCGTCGTTCCCTGCGACACGAAGCACAAAATGAACGATGCTGCGAGGCTTGAACTGGCACCACGCCTGAGTCCGCTCGGCCAACTGCCTGCTGTATGTCCTGCCGAGGCACATGTTGTAGTAGTTTCCAAACCTCACTCAGCTTGCAAGTTTGCGAGTGTTTGTGAGGGTTGTTTTAAAGGGAAACCAATGGAAAACAACAATCTCTGAAATGCCCCGTTCAATCGCCTTCGCGCAATTCAGGATTCCACTCAGGCCTCCTGCCAGACCGTTCTGGCGCCCCTGTAACTTCACACGAGTCCCACAGGGGCAGTTGTCTTGTCTTGGCTGGATTGAGCTTTCGCCTTTCTACTATCCGAATAGGCCAAGAGTTGTGGAAGGAAACAGGCAGGGTCGACGATAAAGTGACACTTGGAAGAAGGGAGCCCCTCTAATGCCAGCAGCTAACAAGCCCGAGCGAAAAGCGGGCACGTCCTGCTGCTCTTGGGCAGCATCCCGAAGACTCCGAAGGAGTCGGTCTGCAGGGAAGGGGCTTGCAAACAACCAATTGGCTGTGGGTCAAAATAGGTCCAAAAATGGAACCCAGAAGAACGGAAACATGAACTAACACACTAAAACCTGCGGTCCCTTGGTGGTTCAATGTTGACCCATACCCAATTAGGTCCAACACCCTAGACTTTGGACGTTGCCTTCCCTCCGACACAAAGTAAGCCTCCACGGACCTCCACTTCACCTCCGTCCCTTGCCCAACTTGCCCCAACCTGCGGTCTTCGCGCTGACATGGAGATTGCGGTTACAAGCAAGGAAAGCCAGTAAGTTGAGCTCAAGTAAAGTAATTTGCACAAAAACGGCCTCCTGCTCCAACATCTATCTCTTCTGGAGCTGCTCGCTTCAAAGTAGCAATCCCGTGATTTGCCCAGGGGCACGGTGTGTCCTTTCAAAAACATGTTATTCTGCATTTCCCTTGCAAAGTGATGACCAAGCTCCGACCCATCTATCGCTATGACACAAAGTGCCCAACTCGTGCTAAGCCTCATGAAAATGAAACAAGAGTGTCACGATGCCATGGAAGCGGTGATGAGGCCATTTGTGGAGGACTGCAGCCTTCCAACCCCTGTCTGCTTGCACTACGATGGGTTAGAGCAGATGACCAAGAGTTCCTTCACGCGGCAAGACAAATTGACAAGGGAATGACACCAACTCCGACAAGTTGATCCATCTACTTTCGGCACACCCCAAGTTGGCCAGCGGCAAAAGGAGCTCTCGAGCCTCCGGCTCCACCTCACTCCTCCCACGCAGGGGCGTGGCCGGCGTGCGCCACGTCGCCGGAGAAGCCGCGTCGGGCACAGAGGGCTTCCTGGCGGCTTGGGGAAGCAGACCCTCAAAACCTCCCCCCCCCCCCCCGCTGCAAACCCCATCTCCTCATGCGGCGGTTATGGCCGGAAGCTGCAAACGCGCTCATTAAGAAAGCCCGCGTCGCCCAAATCAACTCGGGAGAGCCCAATGATCGTAAGAAGACAGAAAGCACACCCGGACCGCTAAGCCAGGCCTCAATTTCAACTCCACCACTCCCAGTCACAAGTCCAAAGTTCACAACAAGCAAAAAACAGCACCCCCCCACTGGCTTGTCCACAGTCTCCTGGACGCGGGGCGTTCCACCGGCCACGGCTCTCCTCGTGCTGGCATCCCCTCCGGCCATTCCTCAGACCCCTCCGGCTCTGCCTCTACCGTGGTGGCCGCCTGACGAGGTTTGAACCGGAACAGGCCAAACCAAAACATCCCAAAGTGAATAGCATACTCATATTATCACATGAGCCATTCCCAAGTTTGGGAGAAAAATTACTCTGCCACCATGCTGGGACCACAAAATCCCAGCTGCCATCCTCAACTCCAAAACAATCGACCAAAAGGCATGGCTCCCAAGCCACAGCCACCGTACTGGCCTGCCTTGCCGAGCTAGGTACTTGCCCCATCCCCCCTCCCCCCACCGCTGCTCAGGACTGAAGCTTCTGACGAAAAGGCACAACGTAATTGTCCCATGGTCATGACCTCATTTGGTTTTTGGCACCCCACATTAGAATTTCATTTGCTTAGGCCCTTATAGTTAGAAAACAAACGACAAAATGCCGCGATCTATCTCATCTGCTCTTGTTTCCCCCGACCAAATAAATATTGACTGCAGTCGGTTGAAGTTCCTGGGGTTCAATGGGCTACGGTCCAATTCCGCCAGACTGACCTATCTCTATATATCGGAAAGGACAAAACGTTCAATAAGAGGCCCAAGTGCCGAAGCAACTAGAAACTCATTCCGGTCCTACGTGTTTGCCTTGCCGACCATGCGCATCAATGCCTGTACAAAACAAGCAAAACAAAGCAAAACAAAGCAAACAGCATAACCCCATGTCCCAATCCTGTACTGGCCACCTGCAGGCGGCCAGAAAAAAGATGTAGTCATCACCGCCATGTGCGCTGCATCTAGCTTCCCGCGTGCAAAGAAGATAGCACTTGCTAATTTGTTGGGAGGGAACGAAAGCCCCCACAACCCCTCACAAAACCTCTGACAACCTTTCTAGGAAGGGATTCTCGATGATTCTCAGAAAGAGACCCGTCTGAGAATCAGTCCAACCCCCGACTAACGTCCTACGCCGATGCCCTCCCCCCCGCCTCAGGCCATTCTGCCGCCTCGGGCTGGGGCTCGTCCGCGGTCTGCCGCTCGCTCGGAACGATGAGATCTTTGTCATCGCCCTTTTTCTTGCTTTTCCTGGCGGGGCGGCAGGGAAGCCACCAGCTTCCCTAAGAAAGCATGCGAACCAGGAGCCAGTCGTTTTGAGCCAAGTGTCAGAGCCCGCAACAACTGCCTGGATTGACTGTCCTTTTTGCCAGCCCCACTCACACTTGCCAGCTGATGTCTGCTTTCCCAGCCCCGACTGCAGGGAGAAACTTGCTTTCTCTTGCTGACCGAAAACACAACAGTGTGGGTCCGGCAGGACTAAAGGATGCCACGGGCGCTTCTTCTTGGTCGAATCTTTTGCCGGCTCCGTGGACAATGTGCCGCCCATGACACCTCAGTTCGCAAGGCTTGGCCAGAAGCAAAACCCAGTCCGTCGCCGCCAAGCTTGGCAACGGCTCTTGCAGCGATATCCTGAACCCATGACTTTGTCTTTGCTCCCCTCCGCACCCAAATGCTCAGGGTCCGGGCCGTTGTTCAGCGCCCAGACATGTCACCTGACAGCACGCTGACTCGGCACCTCCCCTGCCCCAATCGAGGTCCAGATCGTGGCCAAGCAAAAAAGACGGGTCTTTGCCGAGAAACCATGTCGGACTTAAGATTTGACGGCCGAGACCCCCACACATCGGGGCACGACTTTGGCACCCTTCCACTTGAGCCGGCCCCTGCGCGCCAAAGATCCAAGTCGAGGCAGCAGTTAGCTGCAGATTCCTGCTGAAACCTCAATCAGTTGTGCACGGTGCGTGCGAACACTCTGTGCCTGCCACCCCACCCCACCCCCACGTTGAGCCCGCAAGCATGTGGCAAGCATCGGAACGCCGAGCCGATTCAATCCCTGTTCCAGGCAAATCAAAATACACCTTTTGCTTCCTGGCCTTTGAACAGCCGGCAGGCGTCCAAAATGGCCAACACGAGGGCCTAAACCCTTGACCTCGCCTGTTGCATCCACCTCTTGGTGGGCCGGCGGCTATTGCCCACCGACTGAAAGATTAGAAGGGTCAGTATCCCTTCGGAAAAGTCTGGGCATGGCTAAGCCTGCCCACGTTCACTGCCGTTAGGGCTGCTCCAACAAGCCTCGCAACTACGCTGGAATCGCTGTTTTTGCTGGCTAGCTACACAAGAGTACAGAGCAGCCCTGAGTTCAGGCAGGCGCGACTGCTTAAGGGTGTCCCTGCAACTTGCCTGGCATGGAGCCAAGGATCCAGGGACACTCGAAGGATTGACAGCTAGCAAAGGCAGTCTTCAGCTGCGGGGCGAAAAAATGCACCAAACGCTTGACCCAGAACAGCCCCAGATCGCAATGCGGAATAGAAGCCGCAGCACAATTCGGCTTGCCGGGGCCGACTGATCCCCACGAAACCAGAAAATGACTTGAGGGGCTGCCCGGGGCAAGGACAAGGTCTCGGAAGAGCCGGCAGCCGCCCAACTTTGGTGTTGGTCACCTTTCTCCGCTGCATCCAAACCTAAGGATGCATGGGCTGACGAGCCTAAAACCACCCCCCCCCCCCCCCGCCCCCCCGGCAAACGCGTCAGACCTTCGGAGAGCGATGGCTTGGGGTCTGGATGGTTTTGGGGCCGGCGCCAGAACCCGAAGGGCCGCCTAGTACACCTCGGTGACCTAGGCGGTGCCCGGCGAGTCCAGTGAGCCGTGCAGTGAGGCGGGCAAAGGCAAAGCCAAGCGCCGGAAGAACGGACGACGACACCCAAAAGTTCACCAAGGTGGGTTTAGTTTGTTTGGGAACCAGTCACACTTGGCAGGGCAAGCCCGCGCCTTCTGGGGAAAATGCGTTGGTCTGTTTAGGGGTTTCGGGCAGATCTTGGAGTTGTCCTCTGCTGCAACAACAACGAACAAATGTTGGGCGTGGTGAGCCTTTCCAGGTAATGGTTGGGTCAAGCAGGGCTTCAGGCACCTCTGTGCCACCAACGAGCAATCTGACCTCGTAACTATGCGAAACGCATTCGGGCAAAGTATGCGATTGAATCCTACGGCGCTGACCTCTAAGCAAGCCTCCAAGGGCCTCAAATTGGACCACGTGCAACACAACTCCCTAACTGGGCATGCCGGCACTAAACCCCAAAAACCTGCCAAAATTGCAAACCCCTGCCATCATCCATCCATCCATCCATCCGTCCGTCCGTCCGTCCGTCTGTCCGTCCTGGTCGCCTGCCATCTGGGGCGCCAGCGTACCGACCTGCCAGCTGTAGGCTCTCCATCTTCTTGTGGGCCTCCTGGTTGGAGAGGCCTAAGGCGAACACGCGAAAGGGCCTGGAGAGTCTCTCTATCACTGGCGAGAGTCGCAGAACTTCAATTGTTCACGTTGAAGCACTAATCCTTCCTGTTGAACATTGCTACGATTAGCCATTTCACACACCAACTGGTCGTGTGTCATGCGTGTGTTTCGCATGTTTTCGTATTGCACCCCCCCCCCCCCCTCAACATGCCCAGCTGCAAGAACTTAGGCACAGGCCGCCCTTGGTCTCGAAGATCTTCAGAAGCGCGGCGAAGACGTCCTGGCAGCTGCGCCCCCAATCCCCCCCCCCAGCAAAGTGCCTGCTTGGAAAGGGCGAAGCCCAAGCCTCTCAAGTTTGCCTCGCACGGAAGAACAGAGTGCGAAGCAGCGAAGAAATACTCGGTTCGAGATTGACTTTCTTGAAAAGCTACAAGCCTCGTCAAGTTGGCGGAACGTCCACGAATGCCGGGGACCGGCATGCCAGAACTGCCAGCTCAACTCGCACAGCATTTCGCGGCCATGAAGGTGGTAGCCACACACAGCCAGAGCACAGCTGCAGAATGCATCGCCATGTCCTGAAAAGCTGCCACGAGAAATGGCGGTGCCTTTGGAGGCTGGAGGGCACGCCTTCGGCTGAGCCACTACGGCGCTGCGTTTCTGCACCGGAGGACGCTTGGCGGTCCCCGGACAAGAGCAACTGACCGCCCTAAGGATGGAGGAGACTATCTCAGCGGCACGGGCAGGATTTTCCGCCTGCAAGGACGCTGAACCAGCGGCAGTGCTGGTTTTCCCAAAGGAGTCCTCGACCGTCACACTATGTTTCAGCAAAAAGGGGCTGCATTCAATCCGTACTGGACAACAAAATGCGTCACAAAAACAAAAAAAAAAGCGAAATGCAAAGCGACTCAAGGGCGACTGGCTGCACAGCCCGCATCTGGGGCCCAATGCAAATCAGCAGGGGTGGCTTCCCATCAGGCCACTTCGCTCCAACCAATTGAACCACCAAAACCCTACGGGGCGGAAAAACAAGAAACGTCAAAAAAAGCTCCCACCATCTTGGTGGCACCTTTTTTTTTCAACCCGGGCCAAGCTCGCCCTGGAGAAAAAAGAAAAAAAAAGGGAAAAAAAGCTCCTCCCACCAACCCCCCTCGCCTTCTCCGGCTGCTTGGAGCCACAGAGGAAGAAGAAGCCCTTGGAGCCCTCGCGGCCCAAGTTCGCCCAGATCGAGTCCTCAGCCGGCCCCCCCCCCCCCGCGCCTTTGAAAGGCCCGTCGCGGCTTGCAGCCCGCAGCGGGTCGCAACGGCTTGCAGCGTTGAGGGTGAAAAATGTGGGGTGGAATCCCATGGTTGGTGAAGGGGTCGAAGTAGACCGCTGGGGACGTGCAAAATTGCAAGCCTCCTGCCAGCCACTGGCATGAACTGTGATATAGGTGCAAAGGGGGCATCAAAAGTGCCCATGACCCCGGCACCTTTTACAAAAGGGGCATCTGATGCTGGCAGTGAAGCACCACTACATCGCTCTGAGCTTTGATGGCCAGCTCTCAAGACTCCCGCACCTTTGCAGGCAATACCCGCGTGGGAAAAAGAAGGATACATGACAACCGAGCAAACGATTCCAGGCCAACTGATTGAAAGCCCCCCACCAAAAACACATACAAACAAGCACACACACAATATGTTTGGAACAAACAATGCTTTGAACAAGGTCATCCCGTGGGGAAGGTGCTTGTTTGGACACAACCAGCACACAGTTCTCTCCTGTGGCTGGATGGACGCTCGGCTGAGGGCCGATCAGCTTCCTCCATGATCTTGTGCTGGACATAGACCTGTCGGCCAAGATGTTTGTCGTGCGGCCATTTGCCTGCTCCTTGCATGGATGTCATGTTCCACACATTTGACAGGTAAAATCCTTGGCGCCAGTTTTAAGCACGCACACGGACTAGAGGACCCACCAGTCGCAGCGGCCTTCTGCTTCTGGTCGCGGGACCAAGCGTTGCAGCACTTCACCAGGCCTACCAACACGGAACACGTCTGATGCGCGCCGTCTCATCTCTCACATCCTTGCCTGTATGCGTCCCTTCCCTTCGCACATGCAACTCTCCGCCCGCCTTCCGCCTCGAACTTCTCGAACCTGAGCGCGGGAATGTGCCGGGTGTGGCGTGCTCGGGGCTACGACATCAAGTTGACCAGGAAGTAAACGGCGAACGATGCTTTTGGGAGGGGGCGGGGCAGGGTTAGAACAGCCACCTGCCTTTTCGGTTGTCAGCCGGCAAGCTTGATTTCCGTGCAAGTGTGTTAGGACAAAGCTCCTTGCTCACAAGCTACGGCCCTCCTTGTCTGAACAAGGAACTCCGCAAGCATCCCAATCCCAGCACTCTGACCTAAAAAGGAGGACGAGAAGATGACCAGCTACCTGTAGAATGAGGGGTTTTCTATTTTAGGAACCACCCCTATTTCACGTCGGGCTTGCTGAAAACCAGCTCATCAAAACGGCTACAGCGCTCACTGAAAGGGACACCACCGCGCTGTTTGTGTAGGCTGTGGCGCAGGCTCGTCTCTGTAGTAGTACTCCGCGTGGGCGTGGCGTCCGCCGAAGAAGAGAGTCATGGGCCCAACCCGGGCGCCCTGGGTCTTCTCGTGCTTGCGCTGCTCAATGAAGGCCTCATGCGCGGCACGGAGGGGCACGAGTTTGGTAATCAAGCAGGGTTCCCTACATTTCTTCCTTGAGAGGCCAGTTTATATTTTCCAACTCACTTCACGCTGGTGCGGTTTGAAGCTACATGGGCAGGGGCAGACACATGCGCATTCTGCAAGGGTCAAAGGGAGCCAAAATCGATCTGTCTTTTATGTGAGGCCGCACTGCTTGATCAACACCTGAAACTCGATCACCTGGAAGCAAACTCAAATGAGAAGACTACCAGCGCCCCCAAAGAAAGACATGGTCTGCAAGCTGGTTGGGAAATGTGCATTCGTCACAGCTGCAAAAGCGATCTGTCTCAAACAGCCAGAAACCAAAGTAAACAGTTTCAAAGCGAAACACTCGGAAAATGAGACACAAAAAAACGCCAACAATTCCTTGTGTGCCCCCATTTAAACATCACCCCCCAAAAGAAGAAGTCACCATGTGAAGTTGCCCAAAGCAGGAGAACATGGATATACAGAGGTTATGTCGATATATGTAAAGAACGCTATACATCTTGATATAAGTGTATACATAGAAATATGTGTGTGTGTGCATTTACGTGTGTATATATATATATACATTCAGAGGAAACATAAAGCGCGAGACCGACACACACTTTTCCCCCAGGCAAAAGCATGTCAGCTGTGTATGAATGTTAATGCATTGGTCACTGACTGCCCTCAGCTATGCTCCTGAGGTGCAGTAGTTCCTGTCTGAAGAAGCTCTGCTGTACGTAAAACTGATTGAGTTGGGACCATGGGTCATCCGCTCCAAGTCTTGAAATGGCGTCACTCCAGTTGCTTTTGGATTGAATCCACTCAAAATAAATGGACGTCTCTAACCCGAACATCGCAGCATGTGTAAGCATGGCTAATTGATCAAGGTCAGGGGTATCTGAACGGCCACGCACCACGGCCATCAGAGCAGCGACATTGTCCAAGAACCAGAGTCCTGTTCTTCCTCGGAAATGCTCGGGGTACACGGAAAGGGCTGCAAGTACCATAAGCAGTTCCAGTTGTGCTATGTGCCACCCATCTGCCCGCCAGGAGTCGTACAACGTCTGGGGCACATGAACCACATGCCCCAGCCTAGCTTCACTAGCAAGCCCAGGATCGAGCACCACTAGGAAGCCTGCCGTTCCCTGCCTGGGGGTTTCCAACGCAGCGTCTGAGGCTACTACGAACCTACGTGGGTTGGCTGGGGCTAGTGACCAAAGGCGTCTGGGACGTTCTGCCAAAACTGACTCAAGCAATTGGAAAGCGCTTTCCAGTGCCGGTGTCAACGCAGACGTCCGCTCATACTGTCTATCCTTGAGAGCCCCCAACCCTGCTTTCCCAACTTTCCCAAAAATCCCTTCCTGGAAAAAGTTGGTGCAGCCAAACAACTTACTAGCAGCGCCTGGTTTCAGCATCCCTGCTGACCTGGCTTCCTGGATGAAGTGGATCACCTTTTTCTCCAACCTGTCTCGGGGCCAGAAGGTTACTGTCTGCTTTGTGGTGAGGTGCTCCAGGTTATGCATCAGACCCAGGAAGTCGCCTTCACTGGAAAAAGGCTGAGATTTCTCGTCGGCCCAAGGAGTACCCAGCTCGGCCATGAATCCCTTCACGGCCACTTGAGCGGAGCCGTTGGAGCTCGCCCAGTCCTGCATGGTGCAGTCATCGAAGTACATGGAGAAGAGCACACCTAGGAAGCGACGAACCAGGGCCTCGCACAGCCTGCTGTATCGGTTGAAGGAAGTGACTGCAATTGGCAACCCAAAGAGCATACCACTGTACAGCTGGAATGCTGGACTGTTCCACTCCGGGTGCCAAAAGACCACCACACATGCTTCCGCATGCTGGGGAATCATTGGCACCAGGCGATATGCGTCTGGCCAATCTTCCCCTGCACTGTGTAATTGGTCAGGAATGCCTGCGATGGTGCCTCCTCGGAGGACCGCAGCTTGTTGTAGCGCCCAAACGTGCTGCGCCGCCGGAGAGCCGAGCAAAACTCTAGGTGGTTGGCATCAGCTGATAGTTCGCTCTGGCCACCCTTGTCAGCATCATCAATTGGCCGCACTTTGCCAGTGCTTTGAGTGATAGGAAAACGAGGGATCAGCCTCACTGGCCGACGTCCGCAAAAAGGATTGCAGGTGGATAGGGTCGATGTCTCGGGGGAGCGTAAGCAACCGCCGGGAATCCTGTCACAAGGTCGACTGCGAACATGTGGTCCGGCCATGAAATGATCAGGAGGAGCAGGGCTACCAGTGCAATATGCCTAGTTTTGGTGACTCTAGCAACCCCTGGAGGCTGGAATTGCCGTAGGTGCTTGGTCACCACCTGCCATCTCCGTGACAGCTCCTTCAACACTCCTAGGTTCCGCATGCGGGCTGCTTCCAGACGGCCTCGATACTCCCAGGTGAAGTCTGCTGCAAACAGGAGGTCGTGGTCAAGGCAAATGGGTTGCTCCGTGGAGAGTGTCTGGCCTGCTGCTGCGATGGCTGCTTGGAAATGCAAGTCCGGATCCAGACCGTAGGAGACCACTGGCGGCAGGGCCGCACGATGCGCCATGGCTCCCTGCTGTAGCCCAGCTCCCGCTCGGCTCGCAAAGAGGCCTTGCCGATCCAGAAACGCGGGGCCTAGCTCCCCGTCCACTTGCAGCCCATTGCCTAGTCTCCAATCCTTGTAGATAGTGAAGGGTGGCTGATTGAGCAAGTCCTCCACCAGCGGCCATTCCTTCAGCCCCGCAGTAAACTGCGGTGGATACAGCTTCCGGAGCGCGGCAATCACCTCCTCCTGCTGGACAAAGTGCATTCCCGGCGTCCAAGGCATGGACTGTGCTGTTGGCATCCCTGCCAAACAGACCCAGCGGCGCCCTGTTGCGCGGGGAAGACCACCTCGTGCCTTGCGCACCTGTGGGATGGTGGTTGTAGCAGCCTCTGCAATGAGAGCATCAGCATGGCAGAGCTGGTGCGGCGCGCAGTCGCAGACTAGGGTCTGGTGGTAGAGTTCCTCCAGTTTGCCGGGAAGTTCTGAGGTCTTGAGCCACTGCACGTACAAGAGAAAACACTCTTCGCGTGATCCATGCTGTCCTGGCACGAATCTAGCTTTCCAGCGTGTGCTGGGCAGCCTGTGCGAATGATGTCCAGGACCAACATAGATGTGCCCCTCCGGAAGACCCGACTGCTTAAGCTCCTCCAAGTCAAATTCAGACACTGACCGGCGCCGTGGTATATGGCTAAGGGAAAAACTGCTGCTGAGGTCCAAGCCCAACAGCACTGCCGTAGATACCATGGACCACTGTCTGGTTGCACGGGAATCCCAGTCAAGCCATGCTCTGCGATCACCCGTACAGCTGATTGGCGGAGAGCGGGGGACACGCAACTGCGCTCTGCCTGTTCTGGCTGCCCACCACGAAGCAGACACCGCAATGTGGTAAGCTAGAGCAGCTGTGTACTCCGCCTCGTCGTGACTCGGGTAGTGCCTCTTCCCATCCACCAGGAAGGGTTTCCACTCCTCCTTGGAGTGGATGTGACGGCACTGGACTGCCACCTTCATGTCGATTTCCTCTATGTTGTGCCTTAGCCTCTGCCGTTTGCATCTAGCACCTTGAAAAACACAGGCGTCATAATCAAAGTCCTGCCAATGGCCCTTGCTCCACATGTCCAGTTCTGTTGGTAAAAACCAGTGCAAACTGTTTTGTGGGTTCTCTCTCACTGATGCCCCGCCTCGGGCTCTGTGAAGTTGGATCTGTTGCAGGACAAAGGCACAGGCTTCGTTGTCTACCTTAACTCTGCGAGCATCCCTGCTCGAGAGGCCCGGTAGCCCTAGAGGATGCTCTTCTGACCTGAGGGGCGGTGGAGCCTCCGACCCATCCGCAAAAACTCTCGGGATTTCGCGGGCCCGGCTCTTGGTAGAACAGTCAAAGGCAGCACATATGAAATCTGTCCGAGTCAGTTCCTCAGCGAGCCATCCCTGGCACGCGGGACTAGACAGGTCATGAGTGCTATCCAGACACCAATCGACCCCCAAACCTGAAGGGCGCACGCGACTGGCATGTTGGGCCCACAAAAGAGGTCGGCCGCCCTAGGCTTGGTTTGAGGTGACTCATACTGTTCCCCAACTGCCCCCATCACCTCAGTGGGTTCAGCGGGGCCCCCTCAACTCTTTGTCTTCTTCACCGGACATGCGTGGGCACCATGGGTCATGTTGCAAACCCGACCATTGCGAAGCAACACGGCACACCTGTGAAGCCCCTTCTTGCAATTGGCCGCCTGGCACCTACCATGTTGGAAGTCCTTGCAGAGCTTGTCCCCTGAGGCCGTGGTGAACTTCACGGGGCGTCCCGCAATCTGCTCCTGTGCCCCTGCTGGCAATGCGGGCTTGCCTTTCTCCGGTTTCGGCAGGGGGGGTGCTGGTGGAAAAGCATGCGGGACAACTGATGCAGGTGTTTCACAAATCCAGTGGGCATCTCTCAATTGCATGGTCTCTTTCACGATAACCCCCAAATGCTTTTGGGACTGCCTGAAGGACTGAACCCAATGAGCACGCTCCTGGATATCCTGCTGCTCCAACCACGCCAAAGCCGATGCACCTCCTTTGGACTGAACAGCCCGAACTGCCCGAAAATAGTAAGCCATGAGGGTATCCAGGGGAATTTGCACCACTTTGGTACTGTCCGCACCGAGATCCCTCTCAGTGCTGGGGTCCGCCGCCCCACCTGGAATGGCCCGCACTCCTGCAATGGCCAGTGCCAGCAAATACGTGTGCAACCGCGACAGGTATCCTGACAGGTCCTTAGTGGCTGGTGCAACTTCCTCAGGTGCATCCATGTACAACATGTCTCCGACTTTCTGTCGCTTGCGGGACGATGTAACCTGGAACATCAACGTTTTCACCAACCACAAATTGGTGACCATCAACATCCTCTTGTGGCACTCCCGTGCCACTCGAGATATCAATGAATCGGAAGGGTGAATTTCCGGCGGAAAACTGAGTTTGTACCTCCTCCAAAAACTCGTCTTCAAATCAAGTAAATCTTCGTCCCCCAACGGATCGTCCAGGTCCTGGATCTGAGCCTGGCTGTGATCCTTCTCACGGGCGGTAGCTTGCAGCCTAACGCTATGCCAGGCTTTCCTCAACCGCGCTCCTTCCAAGGAGGGGTTGGGCAGATCTTTAATCTTGGATAACCAATCATCGGTCTGCTTCTCTTCGTGAAACAAAAAGCGAAACTCTTCAAGGTCCTGAATTCCTTCGGACAATATAGCTTCTACAACCTTCTTATCCCACTTGAACTCTTTGCCCAGGCTCTCGAACGTCTCTCGCGGTGAGCCGACCTGGGCCGTTGGGAAGGCACACAAACCCACACCACTCTCGAGCCTGACAAGTCCTACCAACCCAACTATGACGTGAGAGCAGAACAATCCACAACTGTGCGCCAGAAAGCCCTCAACTGGCCACAGCTTGGACAAGAGACCACACTGTAGACTGCACAGACCACAGCTGGCTCTTTTTTTGCTCTCATGCCACGGAAAAGAAAAAGGGGGCTGGTGAGTTGGGAACATCTGCTGAAGTGGGGGATCATTGCGATGATAAGGCATTGAGAAGGGCATCAAAACTCATCAACTGAACATGTTGCAGTGGTGCTCCTAACCCACGTGTGCACGGATGCTACCCGGCAGCAAAGACAAGCAGTCCTCACACACTCCTCGCTCATGCGCCAACGCTTCCCAGATGTCACTGCAACTGAACTCCGGGTGCTCCAAGCGGGCCCTGTTGATTCCTCTTCGCATCTGGCAAAGAGGGATCCCTCCACTCATTGCATGGAATCGTGAAGAAGGCCTCCGTGCCACCTCGTAGCCATCGACTGGGGCTCCCGCTCCAGTGCGATGCCGAAGGCGGCGTACCATGCTGGTAGCCCATCCCCAGTTATCCTGTGAGTGGTGGCGGCCGCCTGTCCACATGCGATGGAGTTCCACCGCGCGGGCGTCCTGGATCATCGTGGTGGCCCGATGCATGTCGCCTCCATGAACGCTGCAAGCATCACCCCTGCTGCCAGGGGTCCACGGTGAACACCTGCAAGACAATGTACATATGCCCCTTCCCCTCTTTTGAGGGTGGCTTCCACCAAGTGCCAGGCCTGTACAGCCTCTGCGTCCCTGAATCTCTCATCAGCTGCAGCAAAGCGCACCTGCATACAGCCCTGAGGAACAATCCCTTGTTCCCCGGCTGCGCGCTGGGTGTGTACTGGCTGAAGGAACGCTGTCACCATGGCTGTAATGCCCTGTTCTGCGAAAAAGCTGCGAAGCGATTCTGTTGGCAAAGGGCCCAACCAAAGAGTGCCCATTCCCTGTGGCACTGGCAAAGGTGTGGGCGGCTCTGGCCTGCCGCTATGGCCGGGCTTGGACCATCTCTCCCTCGCCCACTGGTTGAAGATCTCGTCCTCTGGTGGGCTCCTGGATCTGGACCGCGCCGGCTGGCCACCCCTTCGGAAGGCTCCCGCCTCCCTAGGTCGGGCCTCGCGGGCTGGCTCCAAGTGAACCGGCAATGCAGGCTCCTCCTCCTCATCCTCAACAGCCTCCACCTCCGGCACAGGGCTCACCGCCCTGGCTGCTGCTGCCCGTACAGGTCCCCCTGCAGGGCTCACAGGGGCCCGATCGCCCAAAGATGCTGCTGATGATGTAGGGCCAGCTGCAGGCCATTGAAGCTCTTGGGTCGCTTGGAAAGCTTCCCGGGACATGTACTTCTTGACAAAGCAGTCCGCTGCAGGGTGCTGTCCAGCGCTGCCGCTGCGCATCAAGATTCCGCACTTATGATCGAGGCGGCAGTCGGGATCTGCGCAGTTGTTCGTCTGGTACCTCAAGCAGAGCACATCTTGTTCGCGGCCTTTCAACCGCAAGGAGACCACCTTGCCGGGCACCAGGTTCTCGAGCGGGGCATTCCGGTAAGCCATCTTGGGCGATGTCAGCGTGAACCGGCGGGCCGCCCGGGCGCTAAGCTCTTGAGACGCCCAATGAGTGACATGTTCATGCACCAAGCTCAAGTCGCATTCTAGTTTGGCCTTTTCTAGATGTTGCTGCCACGTGCCCGGGCTAATGCTCTCCCATGTGGTCACATGCACTGATGACAGAGCAGACCTGAGAGCCCCGGCCAATTGCAGCTTGATCTTCACCGACAGCAAGTAGCGCACTGCACTATACCGCAAAGGCATCAAGCTCTGCCCCTCAGGCGGTTTCAACTGCCAGTCGGACAGAGCTTGAGTCTCAGTGGATTCCAAACCTACCAAGGAAGCCAGGGTGGGCAAAACACGCCTTGCTGAATAACTTGTAAGACTGTCAGGATCCTGTACGTGATCCGACATGATCCGACGAATGGCTGATGTGATCACGCCGCTTCAAAAGTGGAACTGCTAAAATGGGCTGGCTTGTACATCTCCCACCAATCCCACTGGGTTGTCACGAAAAACCGTGGGATGGCGAAGTCAAAGCCCCCATGCCTGAGGTTCTTTTGCTTTCCTTTTGGGCACCAACAGTGGATCATATTGGGGCTAGCCCGCAATACAACGGCCCGGCGAATATGGGCCATGCGAAGGCAGCCAAAGCCCTGAATCCAATGTCCAAGCATCCCAGTCCATGCAGGGTTGCCCGCCCTCTGGGCAGCAATGATGGCGGTCTCCAAAACCCTCAACATGGCAGGTTCCAGCACTGGGGCCTGTTTGGAGTTATCCCCAATGGCCGGCTTGGCCCTCACAACCTCCGGCTGTAACACTGAGTCCATGTGCAAAGGGATCAGCAAATTGCGTTGGAGCCATTTCAGTGAGTGATATGCCCTGCCCATTGCCTTGTGTGAATGCACAAACGCCTCAACTGTTGAAGCTTCCAGCTCAACAAGAGGGCGCTTTGTGGTCTGGAGAAAAGCCATGAGTTCATCCCAGGTCGTAACCGCTCGCGCCACAGTCGCGAACTCTGCACTGCCCTGCACCTGCTGTGCCCGGCGCTGTGCTGAGTCCAGGCGCTCCTGCAGTGTGGCTGGCGGTAAGCCAGCTGTAGGGCCCTGCGCAGCTCGAAGGATCTGCACCAGCTGCTCCACCTGGGTCCTGCCTCTGGCCTCAAGCACCTTGGCTGGGGCCCTGGCCACCTGTCTCTCACTGACCCGATGCCTGGGAAGTGGCGGGCGTTTGGGTGGGGTGCCTTCCAGCGGACCCACTGTAGACACTGCTGCATAAACCCCGGCAGAGGCCCTGGCCAGGTCCCGGAACTCCCGTCTCCGGGTTTGCAGCCAACTGTGTGCCAACCACTCCCCAATCTTCTGGGCTTGTGTCACGTCTGTAAAGGCAAAAGCAAAATCCCCATCATCCAACAGGCCATGATGCTGTCGCCATGTGACACGTTGGGCCCATGCAGCCGCCTCGACGGTGTCCCGAGGGCCGCGCACCTCTGGCTGGCCGGTGGTTCCCACCACCTGCACTGGGGGACACATCATCATGGCTGAGATGACCACGAAGAGCTGAAGGCCCTGCACGAAGCCCTTTAAGCTATTTGAAACTCCTCCGCACATTCGTCACACACCGGCATGTCACAGACGTCGCAACAATTGCCTGTCGGCAAGCCACACCATGTACAAGCCGGCAGGAGCGGGTGGCCATTGGCTTCTTGGATATGCCATGACCATAGGGTCCCCACAGCCCTCTGCTGATCGTCGAGGACACGCACGTGGCGAGGCTCGGCCCATGGCGGGTCTTCCCAAACCCGGCTGGGGCGCAAATAGGTGGCCCATACTGAGAAGATGTCTGCTCGAGACACCACAGCATGGTCCCTGTCCAAAATGGCCTCCAGGTATTGCGGGTAGATGCTGGTGACCAAACGGGGCAAGGTCATCCCGTGTGAGGCGGCGCGTCCCTGCTTCCCAGTCCAGGGACCGCCCTCCCAAGGGGACCACCACACCTGCCACAGTCCAATCTGGGTGAAGCCATGGGAACTGAAAGCCGCCGTAGCTCCTGTTGCACCTGACGCAATCGGCCTCGGTGCATGGGACTTCCAAAATAGGCAACCCCTGCACCATGGTTGGAACCGACTCATAAGGCTTGTGCAACACAATGACGACATTGGATAGGTGCGCCATGGCCAGAGCACGCGGCATCCCTGCCGCGGCTTCCAGGAAGGCGCGAAGATTGCGTGGCGTGTCCACTGGGACAGTCGCCCATGCGGCCGTGCGGAATACATGGCCGAACATCAAGCAACCTGATCCTAGACACAAATACGAAAGAAAGCTGTTTTGGCTCAGCTTGAGCCAAAATGGCCCCCATACGGCGAGCACATTTTGACTCAAGCTTACATGTTCCCTGAATGATGCCATGTCACCCAAGGCCTGCCAAGCACTAACATGGAACATATGTATATATATATATATGTATATATATGTATATATATATATATACATCTCTTTAAAAAAATAAAAATAGAATAAAAATGTGTATGTATGTGAAACCCTGACATCCCAAACCTGCCTCTTGGAGCCTCCCCTTTGGGCTGCCGAGCCCTGAAAGGTGCCAGGCCAGTGCCCAGGCCCGCCATGTAGACTGGCGCGCTCTTGTCCTGAAAGAAAACGCTCGGGCCCACGCGGTCAGCGAAAACAAGGCTCGGTGTTTGGCCGGGTTGGGCCAATGTTGAGGATGTTTCATAGGCCCTCGTTCCAAAAGCTAAATGCCATCTGAGAGTGTTTGTATTACACCCTGGGATTACACCCTTGGGAAATGACCCAGGGTGTATTCCCAGGGTGTAATACAAAACCCTTAGAACAAAGCTCGTGCCCCTCCGAAAGCTAACCATCTTTTAATCCCCCGTCAGCTTGCTCTGCCGGCTCTACGTGCTACGGAATCTGGTTGTTTTGGCAGGGTGGGACTCCTCGCCGCCGTGCAACTGTCTTCACTTTTGGCACACCCGCTCATGCGTATCACGTCATATCTGTGCGCATGCTGGCCAAATGTTAAGCACACCCGCTCACGCGCATGGTGTCATAAGTGCACAAATGCTGGCACATGATAAGCACAGCCGCTCACGCGCATCGTGTCATAAGTGCACACATGTGGCGCATCGTGTCATAAGTGCACACACGCTGGCGCATGATAAGCACACCCGCTCATCGTGTCATAAGTGCACACATGCTGGCACATGATAAGCACACCCGCTCACGCGCATCGCGTTATAAGTGCACACATGCTGGCACATGATAAGCACACCCGGTCATCATGTCAGAAGTGCACACATGCTGGCACATGATAAGCACAGCCGCTCATGCGCATCGTGTCATATCTGCGCGCAAACAGGTCCGAAAACTTTTCGACGTTTGAGGAGGGGATGCTAAACGTTTGTTTCGCCTAGGCGAAATACTTCTTTTTGGGAATCTGCCCTGCGAAAACCCATATAACATGCATTTTGCTGAATCATTGGCTGCGAGAGAGAACGTGGCAGGCGTGGGGGACAGGCGATGTCGGTCGATATTCTTGTGTTGTGGTTTCGCTTGCCTTCCACGGCGGCGAGGCGTTCCACCACCCTTGTTTTCCCATGAGTGCCATAGGGGGCAGCGGGAAGCATCGGAAGATCCCAAATTCGATTCTTGCCTTGAAGGGTTGAAAGCAAGCGTATCGCTGCCCGGCTTGTCAGAAGGAAGGGGGTGTATTGTCCATGGTGCGCAGCGGTCGCCCCTGCTTCTGTCCCCACGCCAGGGACACCGCATCCAAGCAAATCCCTTCAGGAACCCATCCACAAGCACTGCCCCCCGAGATGGCGCACCCCCTTTGAGCGAAGAAAAAATCGTGCAGACAAGCCCAGGCTGGTGCAAAAATCGCCGTCGCGGGCGCGCCAGTTCCCCTTCCCATGACAGCTCCAAAGAAAGCCGTTGTCGTTGCCAAGGAAGCGTTCTGTTCGACGTGTGGTAAGTTGCTTTCGCTTCTCACACCCGTCCTCTGGGATCTGCATCACGGAGTGCGTGGCGTGCGCCACGCACACAGTCCCCGGCCTGTGCAGCTGTGTGCTGCGTGCCAGTGGAAAGTGGCAAACCCAACGTGAGGACTTCTGGGCATGGAAACCAAAGCCGAGAAAAGCCAGCATCCTATTGTAAACGATCCTAACCAAGCCGTGGAACCGCGGGCCCGAAAAGCAAGCCTCGCACAGCGATTCTGCAAGGCTCAACTCGTGTTTTTGACCCACCGCATCTGCAGCAGTGCTGCGCCTTGTGATGCGTTTCGCTCTGCTTCTCTTTGGAAGCTGCGAAATGCTCACAGGGCCCGTGGATCTGCCCAAGGTGCGCCTCCTTTGCGATGGCAAAAGTGGCTCAAAAGGCGCAAGGTGCGCTGAGCCCACATTGGCCTTCAATGCAACATGCAAGGTGGGCGCCTGCCGAGAACTCCACCTTATTGAAGTAAACGCTGGCTTGCAGGTGGGTTAGATTTCACATGCAGGCACCAACGCATCCAAGATCTGCGTCAAAGTACGCCCAGCCATCAGTCCACCTTGTGACGTGATCTTTTGAGACAACCCTTGTACTTGTCACCTTGTGCCATGCCGTCACCCTTCTTCTCTATTTGCATTCAAGCGCAATGGTTTCGTGAGACCTTTGTCAACCACCTGCACATGGGCGTAAAACAGGATCTGCCCAATGGCCGACCACTGCTGCCTGCCCAACACTTTCACAAGCGCCAACGGTCAAATTGAAGCTTATCTCATCCGCTTGTGGGTCTGCGTCAGGCATGAACTGACACAACTGCAATGCCTGCTGCCACTGCCAACCTTCCTTGCAAGCACTGATCGTTGCGCAATAGCAAAACACATCCTGTTTCAGGCTTGCCTTGGGCATAGCGTAAAAGAGAGCAAGTGCATGCTCCCATTGCCCGTCTTTTTCACAAGCACTGATGATGGCACTGAAGCTGATCTCGCTCACTTGCACGTTGCCATCCTGCATGGCCTGAAACAAGGTCATTGCCTGCTTCCATTGCCTGCCATTTTCGCAAGCGCTTATGGTTGCGTTGAAGCTGATGGTATCTGCCTGGACTTTGCCGTCAAGCATGGCCTGAAACAAAGCCAATGCCTGCTGCCAGTGGCCTCCTTTCTCGCAAGCACTTATCGTTGCACTAAAGCTGATCTCGTCTGGTTGCAGTTTGGCTGCCGGCATGGCATCAAACAAGGCCAACGCCAGCTGCCACTGCTCGCCTTTCTCGCAAGCGCTGATGGTTGAATTGAAGCTGATCTCGTTTGCTCGCACCTTGGCCGTTGGCATAGCCTGAAACAAGTCAAATGCCAGCTGCCACTGGCCTCCTTTCTCACAAGCACTGATAGTTGCACAAAAGCTGATCGAGCCTGGTAGCAGCTTGGCTGCCGGCATTGTGTGAAACAAGGCGAGCGCCTGCTGCCACTTCTTGGCTTTCTCACAAGCGCTGATGGTTGCGTTGAATGTGATCTCATCTGCTTTCACTTTGCCGGAGGGCATCAGTTGGAAGAGTGCCAGCGCATGCTGCCACTTCCCACTACTCTGGCAAGCACTAATGGTTGAGTTGAAACTGATCTGATTGGCTCGCAGGTCCGTGTTGGGCATGGCTTGAAACAAAGCCAATGCCTGCTGCCACTGCCCACCTTTCTCGCAAGCGCTGATCGTGGCATTGAAGCAAACTCCATCTGCCTGCACTTTGCCGTCAAGCATGCCCTGAAACAAGGCTAATGCCTGTTTCCATTGCCCGCCTTTCTCACAAGCAGTAATGCTTGCACTGGAGCTGATCGTGTTCGCTTGCACCTTACCCTCTTCCATCGCCTGAAAGAGAAGCAGCGCCTGTTGCCAATGCCCATGGCTTGCGCAAGCACTGATCGCTGCGCTGAAGCTGATCTCGCTAGCTTGGATCCGGGCTGCAGGCATGACGTGAAACAAAGTCAACGCCCGCTGCCACTGCCTGCCTTTCTCACAAGCGCTGATGGTCGCATTGAAGCTGATCTCGTTTGCTCGTGTCTTTATGCTGGGCATGGCTGTGAGGATCATGCACGCACCTTGCCAAGCGCGAAGCTTTGAACATGCGGCGATTGCGAAGGTGACGTCGCGGATAGCCGCCGTCTCTCCCTTCTGCATGCGCACCTGAAAGGTCGGTAAAAAGACATCTCCGCGCCTATTCGATGCCAGCAACTTCAAGACATCCCTTGTGAGCACGCTTTGCCAGCCAGGTCTCTCCAAAACAGCTCGAACTGCTTGTACCGGTGGGCAATAGCCCAGCTCCAACAATGCCAACAGATCAGCGCGAGAGGCGCTGTTCTGGCTGCCAGGCTGCTTTCCTAACCTTCCCGATCTGCGAAGCGCGCAGCACGTGCTGAGTGCGCACCCCAGCTTCTTGCCAACCACAGGAGCAGCTATCGCCCAAGTGGCGGACTTTGCGCGATGGGCCGAAAGCCGGCTGGGGCCGGTGGTCTGAAGAGATGGGCTGACCCAACGTGGTCCGAGCGACCGACGTGACTCCAGCCCAGCCATGCCGTCACCACGCGTGAGGTAGCATCCAGCCCCTCTGCCGGCTTTCCAGGAAAGGAGGCACAACCGCTGAAGCCAGACAACCAAAGCAAAACATTCGTGACATCAGGACTGACATGGTGAGCGAACACTTCTGCTGCCATGAATGCCAATGGAGGGTGCTGACTCCCAGCCCTTCACGAAGAAAGCAATGCCCGCCTCAAGAAGGTGAGGTAGCTGGAGCAGAGACCAAACTTGGTGTCGCCGCCTCCCATGCGCACTCGTCACACACTCCGCAAAATGAAGCCGAGATCGGCATGCGGGAACCAATTCTCCGAGTTCCACGCGCGCCTTTGGCCTGCCAATCCTCTCGCACCACCAGCAGCTGGCACTTGCCGGGGTGGTAGTCGCTGGAGGAGCAGATGGAGTACACTCCTCGGCATGCGACGGGTTGCTCGCCCCAGAACCCAGCGATGCAAGCTTTCATCAAAGTCCCGCTATGGCCGCATACCCCCCGCTGCCCCCAAGAATCAAAGACCTTCAGTGGTCAGCTTCCCCCACAATCAAGGCATTGCTGTGTTTTCCCTGGGTTCATGCAGTCCGCCCTTGAAGTTGAAACCGGAGATTCGGCTCGGGGCGCAGGGCACGGTCATGAAATCTGAGCTGCGGGCGCTGCTTGACGGTTGGCAGCAGCTCCGCGTACTTGCTGACCTGCCAACTGTCCAAGTGGGCCTTTCTGCCTCTGGGCCCTCCGACGCAGTCGCCAAGACAAGGCGTCCCCCACCCACACAAGCTGTCTGAACCGCGAAGAGGCTCACCCAAGCCGAAAAAAAACAGAAAGATTGGCCAAGCTGGGAGAAATGAGCTTCCAAATCCGTTGCGTACAAACCCATGGAGCTCAGTGGTCACCGGTTGAAACAACCTCTCTGCAGCCTGTACCCAATACTCAAGTCTCAAAAGCTTGGAAAGTCAACCTTTCCAGGCACTCCATTCATTCACTTCTCTGAAAGTGCTCCAGGCCCGCGTGCAAGGGCTGAGGGACAGGCCGGGATCTTCAACCTGAGCTCAACCCGCGGCATGTCAAAGGCTTCCCGCTTCAGTATCTGGCGGCCTTTGCCCCAGGCAGTCCCCACGGATTGCACCAGGCATTGCTGGGCAAAGGCAAAATTTTGAGGAAAAACAAAAAGCTCGGGTGATATCCCAACCAGCATGCGGTGCTCTTTTTAGTGCTCGCACCACCCCGTAGCCCTTGCAGAACCTCGTGGAACCCTCGTGGAACCCTGGTGGAACCCTCGTGGAACCCTGGTGAAACCCTCGTGGAACCTTACCTCCGGGCCGCCCCGGACCACCCCGGAGCCTACCTGGGCTGTTGAGGAAAAAAGCACAGCTAGTGACAGTTTGGCACCAATAATGACCCATGATCCCCCACGTAATTCACGCATTTTTTTTGCACCAACGCCTGTCGCCCTGCCGAGCAACGACGGGAACTCCAGGATGTAGTCCGCGAAGGTGAAGGCGCGGGCTTGGCGGTCCAGGAACTCCTCGCTGCGGTGGAGGGCAACCGTCTCCACCGAAATGACACAAGTCCGGGCCCGCCCCCATCCTCCCAAACACGCAGAGCTGAGTAAGTACATGGGGGCATTGACAGCGCCATTTCTGCGGGGATCTGCCTTCCTCGTTCACCGATCTTCCACTCTCTACGCCTGGCCCCTGGAACCAGCGGCCCTGGTGTCTTCCTAGTATCCGCGGCGTCGCCACAACCCGGTGTTGGAACACATGGTTCACAGCCAAATCGTCAGAAAGCAGCCATCAGAACGAGCTCCTGCACCCTACGATGACCTTTCTTCGTTCCACACGTCAGGGGAACCACCAAACACAGCTGTCAAAACGAAGAAGCAAATCCATAGGCCCTGGGTACCAACGTGATCAGGGCCAGCTCAGCTGGAGCTACATCAGCCTGATTGCTTTGCACAACGTCCGATCCCTATCCTCGGACTTCCTGTCAAGCGTGAGCTCTGCAATTGCCACCTTCT